AAATGTGCATACAACACTGCCCAGCAATCCTACTCCACTTCTATTGCTTTCTCACTGTCAAATGACTCTTTCAAACCTTCCCCTTTTCTCATGCCACATTTCTTTGGGAAAATTCTAAGAACTAATATTTATTGAGTGCTTACTATCTACCAGGTACTGTTCTAAACTCTTTACATGTATGAGCTCATTTACTCCTCAAAATAATTTACTATTATTATCGACATTTTAAAGATGTTGAAACTGAGGCACAGGGAAGTTAGAAAACACGCCTAACGCTACATAGATACTAAGTAATGGGTCTGAGGATTCAAACCCAGGTACCGTGCCACCAGAGTCCACATTCTTAACCACTAAGCTTTGAGCCTCTCCTCAACTAGAAGCAGATAGAAGCTCATTCATCTCTCTACCACCAAACCACCAATGTATGGCACTGAAATATACTCTCTGCTCTTTCTCTTGTTGCTATGGATGAGGTATCCTTGCTCCTGGTTTCACTGGTGAATTTCACCAAACAGTCAAAGAAGAATTAATGCCAATCTTTCTCAAATTCTTCCAAAAAACTGAAGAGGAGGGAATACTCCCAAACTCATTTTATAAGGCCAGCATTATCCTGATACCAAAGCCAGACAAGAACACTACAGAGAAAAGAAAACTACAGGCCAATATCCCTCATGAATATAGATGCAAAAATTCTCAACAAAATACTAGCTAATCAAATTCAGTAGCACATTAAAAGGATCATACAAGGGCCGGCCCTGTGGCTGAGTGGTTCAAGTTCCACACACTCCACTTTGGCGGCCCAGCTTCGCAGGTTCAGATCCCAAGGGCAGACCTACTCCACTGATTGGCCATGCTGTGGAGGCAATCCCACATACGAAATAGAGGAAGATTGGCATAGATGTTAGCTCAGGGCTAATCTTCCTCAGGCAAAAAAAAAAAAAAAAAAGAGGAAGATTGGCAATGGATGTTAGCTCAGGGTGAAACTTCCTCACCAGAAAATATAAAAAATAAAAATAAAAGGATCATACACCACAATCAGTGAGATTCATCCCTGGGATGAAAGGATGGTTCAACATGTGCAAATCAATAAATGTGACACACCATATTTATAAAATGAAAGATAAAAATCATATGATCATCTCAATAGATGCAGAAAAAGCATTTGACAAAGTTCAACATGATAAAAACTCTCAACAAATTGGGTACAGAAGGAACGTATCTCAACATAATAAAGGCCATATATGAAAAACACACAGCTAACATCATACTCAATGGTGAAAGGTTGAAAGGTTTTCCTTTAAGATCAGGAACAAGACAAGGGTATCTACTCTCACCACTCTTATTCAACATAGAACTGGAAATTCTTTCCTCTGGAAAGCCAGAGGAATCAGGCAAGAAAAAGAAATAAAAGGTATCTGAATGGAAAGGAAGAAATAAAATTGTCTCTGCTTGCAGATGACATGATTTTACATATAGAAAATCCTAGGGGCTGGCCTGGTGGCGTAGCAGTTAAGTGTGCACGCTCCACTTCGGCAGCCCAGGGTTTGCAGGTTCGGATCCCGGGTACACACCAATGCACCGCTTGTCAAGCCATGCTGTGGTGGTGTCTCATATACAGTAGAGGAAGATGGGCATGGATGTTAGCCCAGGGCCAATCTTCCTCAGCAAAAAGAGGAGGGATGGCATCAGATGTTAGCTCAGGGCTACTCTTCCTCACAAAAAAAAAAAAAAAGAAAGAAAGAAAATCCTAAAGACTCCACCAGAAAACCATTAGAACTAATAAACAAATTCAGTAAAGTTGCAGGATACAAAATAAATATAGAAAAATCAGTAGTGTTCTATACACTAACGATTTATCTTAAAAAGAAATAAAGACAAGCCCCTTTACAATAGCACCAAAATTATTGGTGCTATTGTAAAGGTTTAGGAATAAATCTAAATAAGGAGGTGAAAGATCTATACACTGAAAGCTATAACACATTGATGAAAGAAACTGAAGAAGACACAAATAAATGGAAAGATATTCTGTTTTCACGGATTGGAAGAATTAATATCATTAAAATGTCCATACTATTCAAAGCCATGTATAGATTCAATGCAATCCCTAGCAAGATTTCAATGGCATTTTTTACAGAAATAGAAAAAACAATCCTAAAATTTTTTTGGAACCACAAAAGACCCTGAGTAGCCATGTAATCCTGAGAAAGAACAATGCTGGAGACATCACACTTCCTGATTTCAAGCTATATTACAAAGCTATAGTAATCAAAACAATATGATAGTGGCATAAAAACAGACACATAGACCAATGGAACAGAATCAAGAGCCCAGAAATAAACCCATGCATATACAGTCAACTAATATTTGACATGGGAGTCAAGAATACTCACTACAGGAAAGACAGTCTCTTCAATAAATGTTACTGGGAAAATTGGATATTCACATGCAAAAGAATGAAATTAGACCCCTATTTTACAACACTCGCCAAAATTAACTCGAAATGGATTAAAGACTTAATTGTAAGACCTGAAACCATAAGACTCATAGAAGAAAACATAGAAAAAAAGCTTCTTGACATTGGTCTTACCAATGATTTTTTTGGATATGACACCTAAAGCACAAGCAACAAAATAAAAAATAAGAGGGACTAATCAAACTAAAAGATGGTCAAAAGGTAAAAACTTCCAGTTGTGATGCAAAATAACCAACAACCATTCTATAGATAAGAGAGATAAGGTGAGTTTTACTTGAGCCAGGCTTGAGCACTACAATCTGGGAGAGCAGTCTCCACAAAGAAGACAGTGTCCCAGAAAAGCATGGTTTTCAGTACAGTTTTATACATTTTCAGAACAAAGAACATACATTAAACACGCGCAGGATACATATTCCTCCAAGTTTCAAAGAGGTATTAAATTGCAAATTGGCAGATCAACAGGACCCTGATGTCTGGGGAGAGGTAACTTATCTTCAGGAGTACTAATGTGGGTGTTACTGGTGGGTGTAGGAGGGGAAGTATGCATTCTTATCTTAAAAGTGTGCATTCTTTTACTTCGAGATAACCTTTAATGCATTCTTTACTTCAATGGTTTAAGCAGATGTACAATGTATGTTTGATAGGCCATAAATCAGGCTTCTTTAGTTCAAGCTGAATTATTATGAATCAGAATAGCTACCCCATATATCTCAATATGTGAAAATCTCTTATCATAGTTATAAGATAAAAAATTCTGGGGATGTAACGTACGGCATGGTGACTATAGGTAACAATACTGCATTGTATATTTGAAAGTTGCTAAAAGTAAATCTTTTCATCACAAGAAAAAAAATTATAAGGTGAAGTGATAGATGTTAACTAAACTTAGGGTGGTAATTATTTTGCAATATATACATATATCAAATCATTATGTCATACACCTTTTTTTTTTTTTAATTTTTATTTATTTATTTTCCCCCCAAAGCCCCAGTAGATAGTTGTATGTCATAGCTGTACATCCTTCCAGTTGCTGTATGTGGGACGCGGCCTCAGCATGGCCGAAGCAGTGCGTCGGTGCGCGCCCGGGATCCGAACCTGGGCGGCTAGTAGCGGAGCGCCCACACTTAACTGCTAAGCCACGGGGCCGGCCCATGTCGTACACCTTAAACTTATACAATGTTATATGTCAATTATATCTCAATAAAACTGGGGAAAAAAGATATCGAACAGATCAAGCATGATCAATTTAATATTACTTCAGAACTTCATCCAATTTGATTAGCTAGCAAATAGGTTCTCTGTTTAGTTCCTTCAGTGATATTCTTTCTCCTAGAGTTTCTGTTATCGGTAAAGAGAAGGGATTCACAACACCTTACCTGAATAAACAAAATACTTTTTAAGTCCAAAAAGAAGACAGACAAAGAAAACCTCTCCCTTGACCTCACCACCACTTCTAGCTAATGCCCCACCCCACTTCCCAGTTCTCTTTTTAGCTCTTTACCTTGATATTTGCATGGCTGGCGCTTTCTTCTCCTTCACATCTCAATTTAAATGCCATTTCCTGAGGGGCCCTGCCCTGGCCACCCAACGTAGCCACTCATTGGCTTCCAATTACATCAACTTAAAAAGTTCTCTGCAAGTCATTTATCAGTAGTAGATATTTTTCTCGTTTACTTGTTTAGTGTTTGCTTTCCATCACCCAATTTAAGCTCTTAAAAAACAAGGAACCTGGGTCTGGCTCTTTCCCTGTTACATTCCCAGGACCTTGAACAGTGCCTAGATATAGCAGGACAATATTTCCATTGTCTTTATACACTCTAACTGATCTGCCCTTACTTCTCTGACCTTGTCTCCTAGTACTTTCTCCCTGGCTCACTGAATCACTCACACCGAACTTGCTGTTCCTTCAACATGCCAGACTCACAGTCTCTGCCCTTGCTATTCCTTCCCTTTGAAAGGCTCTTCCCCAAGGCTCCCTCCTTCACTTTCTTTAGATCTTTGCTCAAAAGTTACCTTTTCTTTCAGGCTTTCCCTGTTTGGGAGTTTAAAATTGCAGCCCCTACTCTCTGCCTCTTTCCTTGGTTAATTTTTCTCCATAGCACTTACCAATTTTTAATACACTATACAGTTTACTATTTATTTTATTGCCTGTCCCCTCTACACCTCATGAAGTCTCTCTGCTGAATCCCCAACAGCACAAAACAGCAAATATTTACTAAATCAATGCATACATGATTATCAGATGTGAAATCTTTTGGAACTGTAAGGCATCATCATGGGTAGTAAAATTATCTATGTTAATAAACAACAACAGTATTCATACTTGCATCCCTCACATCCCTGGCACGGAGTCCTACACACAATTTGTGCCCAAAGAAAGCGCATTTGAGGTTGATAACCGGTGGGCGTGGGTCTGAAAGTCCACTCGAGGAGGAGCCTCTGGCACCGCCCCCTCCCCTCCCCGCCTCGCCCCGCCCGCGCAGGCCCCGCCCCCCGCAAGCCGAATCTCTTATAGGCGAGTGACGTCAGGCCGTTTGTTGTCACTGGCGGCTCCCAAGATGGCGTCCATCATGGAAGGGCCGCTGAGCAAATGGACTAACGTGATGAAGGGCTGGCAGTACCGTTGGTTCGTGCTGGACTACAATGCGGGGCTGCTCTCCTACTACACGGTGAGTCCTTGGGGGCTAAAGCGCCGAGCGCCTCGGGGGTCGCGGTCCCCGAGTGGAAGGCGGGGCGGGCTTTTCGGTAGCCGGGTTGAGGTTGCTAGCCTGGGGGTGCCGCCGTACGAGAGTGTTCCCTCGTTGGGGAGGGTTTTACGTCCGAGATAGCCAATGAGGGTGAAGGAGATGCTGGCGCAGCCAATAAGCAGGCCCTGGCTGTCTGATTTATGAGTTGGGGGCGAGCCGTTTCTATTTTCTAGAGTCGGGTTTTAAGCGGTGGTGGGGTCGGGCGTGGTGGTAGGTGCGGGAGGGTGGTGGTAGTCATGGTTTAAAGGGTCTGGTCGCTCGGTCCGTGCGGTCTCCGCACGCTGTCATGGACTTGACACTGTCCCCCCGAAGCCGTGTAGACAGCCGCGCCCCTTAGCTTCCCTGCAGGGATTGAAGAGCGCTGCTTTCTTGGGGCAGTGGCCAGACGAGCTTGGTCAGGTCCAAAGATGACTGGCCCTCGGGCAACACGAAGGCGTCCGAAATCCCTCCTGTTTGCCCGAGTTGAGTGTCGTAGTCTAGGGACGCACTCCTCTAGTCAGCGGGAAGCGACGCCTTAACTTTTGAGAGCCGACGATTTCCTACACAGGAGTCTCTTGTTAGCGGAGAGAGAGAATGGGTAGTGCGGGCTCTCTTGCAAGTTATATTCTGGGGAGGGCTGAGTTCAGGGCTTCACTGTCGTTAAACACGACCCAGTGGTCGTGGGCAAGTCCATGAATTGCTGTGAATCTTGCGTTCTGATTCTCCTCTTCACCCCCATCGCATTAGAAATGGAAGGTGGGTGGTATTAGAGAGAAAAATTACTTCCAAAGGTACTTTGTCTGAGTAGTGTATAGTTAATAATAGCCAATGAGAGGAAGGAAACCATTTAAAAGGACAAAATAGAATGTCCTGACGGCTTTAGAAAATAATAGAAGACAGAAGGAAAAAAATTGTGATTATGGAAGAAGGGTTAATGTTGATAAAACACATGAGGACACTGGTATTTGTTCATTAAAAATTATTTATTGAGCTCCCACTCTATGTTAATTATTATTGCTTTAGGCTAGGGGGGTGTGTGTGTGTGTGTTGGTGTGTGTGCACAGCTATGTGCATGTGATCAAGAATCAACAGAGATCAAGACATTCACCAGTCCTCATCTCTGGAGCTTATATTCTAGTCTAGTGTTTCCTTTAATTCATTTTACTCACAATAACTCTGCAAGGTAGGTTTTCGTTATTTCCCTTTTATATCTCCATTTTACATTTTGGAATCTGAGGCTCTAGGCTTTTACATAATTTGCGCAAGATCACAGAGCTAGCAATATGTGATGTAATCAGGATTCCAAATTCCTGGCTTTCTGACTTTTTCCACTGAACTTCACTTTCACTACAGGAAGGAGAAAAGTGCAAGCTGTGGGTTACTAAAGGCAAGCCTGCAGGAGTAAAAAGTGTAACTTTCAACATCCTTCAATTATCACCTTTCTTTCTTTTTTTTTTAAGATTTTTTTTTAAATTTTTATTTATTTATTTCTTCCCCCCAAAGCCCCAGTAGATAGTTGTATGTCATTGCTGCACATCCTTCTAGTTGCTGTATGTGGGACGCGGCCTCAGCGTGGCCGGAGAAGCGGTGCGTGGGTGCGTGGCCGGGATCCGAACCTGGGCCGCCAGCAGCGGAGTGCACGCACCTAACCGCTAAGCCACAGGGCGGGCCCCACCTTTCTTTCTCTATGTAATTTTTAAGATTTTATTTATTTATTTATTTTCCCCCAAAGCCATAGTAGACAGTTGTATGTCACAGTTGCATATCCTTCTAGTTGCTGTATGTGGGACGCGGCCTCAGCGTGGCCAGAGAAGCGGTGTGTCGGTGCACTCCCGGGATCCGAACCGCGGCCGCCAGCAGCTGAGCGCGCACACTTAACCGCCAAGCCACGGGGCCGGCCCGCTCTATGTAATTTTTAAAGGAGAGAAAAAGACCAAACCTGAATGAGATTTAAACACATTGTTCAAGATTATCTTTAGGTAGCCATGAAAGAGAGGCAGCTGAACATTATATCCTGAAAACTCGGGAATTATAAAATCTCATGGCTCAGATAAATGAAGAGTAATATTGGGCTTCAGTAGATGTGATAATCAGAAAATCCCATGGACCCTTTCCAGCCTATTGAAGGTGCAGTAATTTCAGTGAGTGGCACTATAGAATTGTTTCTCTACAAATCCCAAATTTCTGTGCCCATACTGGAGAGGCCCCAAGCTAGGGTTCTCGGGAGCTCCTAGTCCAGACAGAATCTTCCTTTTTCCTGTTTTTCTTCCTATTTCTGCCTCCTTGCCCTTTTAGTTTCTGAATACCTTGACAAATCTCTCCTTGTCTTATTGGCTAAATACAGGTTTTTCATATACATCTTTTTTTTTCTCTCCTAATACTTATCCTCCCTCTGAGACTAGACTCCATAAAACATCATCCTTCCAGCAGAAGGGATATATTTCTCATTAATGGCTATTTAGAAGTTTTTTTTTCTTTTCTAGTTCTTAGGTGTTAATGTATTGCTTGCAGAGAAACAGCAGAGAAATACTGTAAAATAAAATGATACCCAGTCCCAAGTTAGAGGAGGTCCAGTAAAGATGGGAGAAGGATAGGTATTCACTTAAAGAGAATGTAGGAGACACGTTGAATGTTGGCAGCGAATTCTGTACATTTGGACATTGTTTCATTACATTAGGATTCGGAAGGATTTGAGGATGCATCTTAATGATTTGCATGTGGCTAGTAACTTGGAGCTACATCTTCCAGGAAGAATATCTGAATTAGCTGCACAGCCTTTTAAGCAGAGCAGTAAATAGCAAGTCACTCTTGTTTGTTTCCAGAATCACTTGGGCTTTGTTCTGACTCTGTGGTTGGAGATTATTCTAGGGTGGCCATGAAACCCTGAACTAAACTAGATTGGCCTTGCTTTAGAGTCAGCCTGTGCCGAGAATTGATACTGGGATAACCTCAGGGTTAGGTTAGGATCACTGGGATTGCTATGAACTGAATAGTTTCACCCAAACCTCACCTCAGCCTGAATTTTCTCCTCTGGGTTTGGGCCCAGACCCAAACCTGTCTTCTGGACCTGGATGGTGTTTTTCCTTTACAATTATTTTCATAATCCGTGAATTTTCAGTTTTTGAAAAATAGCTTAATATATTACTATTCTGCTCAATACAGGAACAGAGAAACTGATTACCTCCTTAAGGAAAGTAGATTCAGGCAGTCTTTTCAGCTCTAGCTCAGTCTCTGAATCATCAGAAACAATATAATGTAGTTCATTCAGCAAGCATTTATTTAGGGCCAGCTTTGTCATACGCATTGTACTATATATGCTGGAGGTGCAAGCATGAAGGAGAGAGTCCTTTCCATCTAGGAACTCACAGTCTAGCAGAGCAGACACCTAAACAATTTCAAAACAATGTGATAAATTCTACATAGAAATAAGAATAGACTGCTTTGGGAACATTGCCTGGAAAAGACTAGAGAAACATTTTAGCTGGGACTTAAAGGTAAAAGAGAAGAAGGGCATTTCAGACAATGGGAAACATGCACAAATTGGGAAGCTTGAGAACATAAGATGTATTAAGAAGATATTGAGAATTTCTGAGCAGCTCTATTGTAAAGGTGTGTATGGGAGATAACAGGAGATTGAGTCCAGAAGATATTTAGAGCCATAGATCAGCCCTGGAGATGAAGATCTGTTAGATTGTAGCACCGAATTTGTTAGTTGAATTTTATTAGGTGAGATGCTCAGGGAGGGCTAAGGATATAAGTTTGGGAACACTGTGTGAACAGCTAACCATTTGTGTGAATCATGATCACAAAGGAAGATGAGAAAGGAAGGAAAATTGAGGGAGGTATAGGTATGTGAGGAGTTGGGAAGTTGGAAAGTTAGTGGAAGTCATGCCTTTTGTAAATTTATCAAAAGTTTAATGAGTACCTACTGTGTGCCAGGCATATGCTAGGAAGAGGGGTTAAAATGGTAGATGAGATGGAAATAGTCCATGCTGTCATGATACTGAGTCTACTGGGAGATGCAGCAAGTAAAAGCTGTGATATAGGATGTTTGGGGGGGTACATAAGTGGGTTACTTGATTTAGTTTTGGAGGGTCGGGAAAGGTTTCCTAGAAGAAGCAGGTTTGCTGTGACCCGAATGATGAATAGTGGTTAGCCATGTGAGCAGAGAGAGAAAACTGCTTGAGATAGAGGGAATACATGTTTTCGGATGAGACGAGTAAGGAGCTTGTCAGTCTTGGAGTTTGGGCTGTTGAGGTGGACAGCAGTGAGATGAGGTGGAGAGGTAAGTAGGGGCCAGATAATGAAAGGCTTTCTTGGTAAACCATGCTAAGGAATTTGAACTTTACCCCCAGGGCAGTGGAAAGTTATTTAAGTGTTGTAAGCACTTTTTATTATAGAAAAAAGTTTTATTATAGAAAATTTCAAACCTACATAAAAGAGGATATAGTAAAATGCATTCCTGTCATCCACCTTGTCCAGTTATCAACATGTGGCTAGTCTTGTTTTATTAATACTCCCATCAACTTCTTCCTTCCCCATTGGATTATCTTAAAGCAGATTCCAGACACCATATCATTTCTTTTTTATTTTATTTTATTTATTTTTCCCCCAAAGCCCCAGTAGATAGTTGTATGTTATAGCTATACATCCTTCTAGTTGCTGTATGTGGGACGCGGCCTCAGCATGGCGGGAGAAGGGGTGCGTCGGTGCACGCCCGGGATCCGAACCCGGGCCGCCAGCAGCGGAGTGCGCACACCCAACCGCTAAGCCACGGGGCCGGCCCACCATATCATTTCATTTGTGAATATTTCAGTATGTATTACTAAAAGTTAAGATCTCTCTCTTTTAAAAAATATTATCACAATACCATTATTACAACTAAATAATAATAATTTGTTAACGTTGTCAAATATCCAATTTCCTTGATTATCTCAAACATC